GGGTTGAAACAAGAAAGTGTACGATATTTTCTCACATACGAATACGTTAAAACTAATCGAGCATCCACATGTTCTTATTTGTGATTCCGATTCGTTGATCTCGTTCGAAGCACTCTATTTCAATGATCAGAATCATATCTTAGCTTATGAAAAAGCGGAACAACATGACAATGACGATAATCGACAAACATATTTTCATGTTTTTCATAATGCTCAGCAATTGACTAAGTTACTCGAGCGTTACTTTGCCGGTGAGCTCGGATGTAAAAACAAAGAATAGTCATAAATTCTTCTTAGAAAAATATGATGAACCTGATGGAAAAGAAATAGAACGGCTCGCTGATATACAGCAATGGATGTCGAATCATCATAATCTTGATCAAAATTTCGATGTTGCAAAAAATCAAACAAGAAGTGAAAGATCAATTTGAATCATCATGAACACAGATGACTCTTTATGCATTAGGCGTATACGCCTGTAGAAATAGATGAATTCTGTAATGCTGATATTAATGAAGCGTTCAGTGTTTTATTGCAAAATATTGCTCGTCTTTAATTGTATACTGATTTATTTAGAGCATAAGAAATGCAAAGATGATATTTCACATTTTCAAAATACACTTTTATCAAATCTTCAAAGTGACGGTCATGATTATTTACACGCTTGTTAATAATTATATTTATGAAGGAAAGAAATTAATTTTTTTAACAAAGAATCAATTGATTGACATCATTATATATATCCATTCAAATGAAATTTATATTTTTTATTTTCAACAAAAACTTTGTCTGTTGATTGAATATTTTAATAAAATAGTATATTTTGATTATTCGTCAAATATTTTCTCTACTTCTTAAGTATAATCTGAATTTCTTATTTGTTTTTTTTACTAAGTGATATGTGAGATGACAACAATAACGGTGATAATATGAAATTTGACTCATTGATCAGATAAAGGCTTCATGTATCGTGAATTCTTTCAATAGTATTTAATTTTATTCTTATATTTACATAGATTAAATGATGAATATTATTTAAGATTTTCTTTTTTTTTCTGTTACTTGAAAAATTTCATTTTATTTGAATTGTAATTATTCGAATACAAATTATTTTTGTAACTTTTCTTGAAAATTTTCATATGAAATAGTCGAATGTGAAATTTTAATTTCATAAATCCTCACTTTATGTAACATTGTTTATAACACATTGCTTGTTGATCAATCAGATTATTTAACTAATCAATATAGAGAACAATCGTTTTACAAAATGATTTCTACTATAAAATCAGTTATTCATTTTTTTGTTTTGTTTGGAAGAGACAATAAATCGAATTATCAACGATGAAAATTAGATATAGAATATTAGAATCAATACGCTCATATACATTTGTTTAGTTCTATTAAAGAATCTGATTGTAGATTCGAATAGTTCGAGTTCGATTAGTTTTAGTCAAATTTCGACAAGTGATCAGTTCGACATTATAACTATATGTTAAATGGAAATTTGAAAAGAAAATAAATTTAAATTTTTCTTAAATTGATCATCTATTTTCTTATTTAATTTTATTAAGAAAATCAATTTAATGAACTCGGATGAATATTTTTAAATTGAATGTTCTAAAACGAAAAAAAAAAAAGAAAATTTTCTTAAAATAAAATTAAAAACAAAACAATATACAGCATTTGTTTGAACAATTTTTAATTGTTTTATTTGTTGATGATTAAAAATCATGATGGCTGTGCCTGTTTTTCCAGCTCGTCCAGATCGATGTACATAAGATTTCCAATCCTATTTAAATATGATTTATTATTTATTTAAATTAAATTTACAAAAAAAAATGTTATCTATCATTTTAAACCTGTGGTGGTGATGTTAATATAACAAGTTCAACTTGTGGAATATCAAGACCACGTGCTGATACATCTGTTGTTATTAATAGACGAATTATACCTTGACGAAAATTCTTTGAAATTTTGTTATATTAAATAAATTATTTTATTTATTAATATATATATATACCGTTAAAACTTGTTCTCGTTTTCTTTGTGAAAGATTTCCATGAAGAATATCTGATGAAATTGATATCATTTCATTTGATTTTGCTAATAAATCATATTCTTGTTTAGTTTGACAAAAAACAATCGCTTGACTTGAATGAAAATTTTTTGAATATGTTTTAAAAAGTTTTAAAACAATTTCTGATCTTTTTTCAATATTATTTAATTTAAATGATAAATGTTCAACATTATTTGCTGTTTTTTCTTTATTATCTTCAATTAAATTAATAAAACATGAATTTGTTTTTGACATATAATGAGAAAGATTTTCTTTTAACCAAAATGGAATTGTTGCAGAAAAAACAATCATTTGACTTTTTTTTTCATTTGAAAATATATTTTTAATTATAAAATCGACATCATCCTTTAAATAAATAAATAAATAACTAGAATTAAATATAAAAAGATAATAATTCTACTTGAAATCCCATATCAAGCATTCGATCAACTTCATCTAAAACAATAATTTGACATTGATGAAGAATTAATTTTTTTCTTATAATAAAATCTTTTATTCTTCCAGGTGTTCCAACAATAATATCTGAACCTCTTTTTAATGATAATTCTTGTTTACTATATTCTTTTCCACCATAAAGTGTTGTTATTGATAATAAACGAGATTTAATAGATAAAAAATCATTTGTTACTTGTTTTGCAAGTTCACGTGTTGGTTCTAATACTAAACAACGAGGATAACGACCCCAATAGTGTACTGCGTGATTGATATTTTTGATCACGATCACGGTCCCAATCACGAGCAAAACAAGGTCGTGAATCACGATCACGAACTTTTATTTCAACTATAGTCACGACCACGATCACGATC